ATTTTTAGAAAAATATTTTATCAAGAAAAAAAAAGTTGGGCTTACTGTCTTTTTTTTTGGGGGGGGGGGGCATTTCAGGATTCACTGCCTATAGGCTCCTCAGATGTAAACCTGGTCCTGCTTCTCGGTACGGTTGTCACCCAAGGACAGGAAGTGTGTTAATTGCAGGATTACCGGATGAAAATAAACAAAAAGAACTTGAAAGGAAAACTAATGTAGCCAACACAGCTACGGATATTTAAGCTGTAATAACAATTTTTGGTTTTGGGTTTCGATAAGCTTTAAGATTGTTTTCTGGAAGTTTTTTTTTGTTTGTAGCTGGGCAGATGCAGCATGCTTTTAGGTGCTTTCAACTTGGGTGTGACATCAGTTTGAAGCTGTATTGTATTCGTCTTCCATAGTTTATGCAAAGGTTCTGTCCTGAGTTTTTGGATGGCACCACTATGTTTTCATAGATCTTTTGATAGGATCTTCAGCAGCACACCTTGGAACCGTGATAATCTATGTTATTTATTTACATAAAGCAACAGGCATCACAAGCTGACATTTCAGGAATTTGCAGTGATGACCTCATAGGTTCCCTTTTTGATAGAAGAATGATGACCTCATAGGATCCCTTCTTCACAGAAGGGTAATGACCTCATAATATCCCTTTTTCAGGTCACTCTTTTACTCAACCTGGTTCCTGCGAGGATACATTTATGTGGATAAAAGACAAGATTATCACTATACCTAGGTGCCCTGGTAAAAATCCTTATTTTCCTATGAGATCAGTGTGAGATGCTTCAAAACGCCACCTGAGTTTTGTCACAGTTATGTATGATGTGCAGCTTTCCTTCTCCTAAGTTGCATCAAGCATTATTTTATGACAGATGTTATTGTAACCCTCTTTTTATGAGAAATTCCCCTCCCCAAACAGCAGTATGGAAATACAGTAATACAAGTTTTATTTAGGAAGAGATTCATAATAGTACATACATCCAATGTACAAACAGGTATTATCAGCAAAGGGCCCGATAGGAGTCCTGTTGGAATTTTACATATATACATACAGATACATTTACTTTATATACAGATACTAATAGAGATACCTCTAGAGCAGTGCTTCTCAATTATTTTCTGTCATGCCCCCCCTAGGAAGAAGAAAACATTTTGCACCCCCTGCGTGACTGTAAATAGTATAATTTGTCTATACAATTGTTATAAGTACACCTCTGCATAATACTGTATCCTTATTAACGTATAAGAGAATAAAAAAAGAAAGAAATGTGGATCAATTTACAACAAAGAATAGCTTTATTAACTGTAGCAGAAAAGATTTAAAGTGCATTAGAAATTCAAAAAAAATTAAATCCTTAATTAAACCATAAACATTTTTTGATTGGACATGTCAAACCATATGATACTGAAAAAAATACATAAAATCAATAAATAATAATGAATTCAAACCGATCACCAACATTTACTTAGGACCTAATCATTGGCGCCCCATCATTGGTGTCAGTGGGAGGAATAGTGCCTCATTATTGGTGTCAGTGGGAGGAATAGTGTCCCAACATTGGTGTCAGTGGGAGGAATAGCGTCCCATCATTGGTGTCAGTGGGAGGAATAGTGTCCCAACATTGGTGTCAGTGGGAGGAATAGCGCCCCATCATTGGTGTCAGTGGGAGGAATAGCACCCCATCATTGGTGTTAGTGGGAGGAATAGTGTCCCAACATTGGTGTCAGTGGGAGGAATAGTGTCCCAACATTGGTGTCAGTGGGAGGAATAGTACCCTGTCAGTGGGGAGAGGAATAGTGCCCCATCGTTGGTGTCAGTGGGGGGGAGGAATAGTGCCCCATCGTTTGTGTCAGTGGGAGGAATAGTGCCCCATCGTTGGTGTCAGTGGGAGGAATAATGCCCCATCATTAGTATCAGTGACACCAATGATGCGGCACTATTCCTCCCACTGACACCAATGACACTTGCTGACCCCTGTTGCAGTATGGTGCTGCTGCAGCCAGCATATGTGGTTGCAGCAGCACCTCTGCACTGCACACTTACCAGCTTTTCCCTCACTCGATTTTCGCGGGTCCGCCCGGCTCCGCCTCCTCGCCCGTGATTGGCCGCCTGTGTACCTTTCCTGAGCTACAGTTCTGACGGTCAATCACCGGTGAGGAGGCGGAGCCGAGCGGCAGGAGTGAGGGAGTGGCCGGAGTGACGGAAGGAGCAGCGCTTCCTGGATGGATCATCGTGGGAGCCAGGTAAGAGACAGCAGCCCTCTGCCCACCCCTGTACTTAGTGTCCCTTCTGTCGGAAGGGGGGGGGACGGCGACGCGCCCCCCTTGATGGAGCCTCGCGCCCCCCTGGGGGGCGCCCCACTACTATTTGAGAAGCACTGCTCTAGAGGAATGTTGCAGCAAAGTCCAGTTGCAGGGGCCGCTGATGATGGTCACAATGTGGAGTCTGTCTTTGTGTCAGAGATCTGAAGACATAATTAGCAATGATGGAGAAACCCTCTAGCCGCTGTCCAACCAACCTGAAGTGCAGTTTTTCAAATGCAGAAACAGTGGTGTGGCACTGGAACTCAGTCACCTATCTACTCTGCCTCTTAGTTCCTAGTAGTTTCTAATCTGACATACAACCGGACCTGTAACTACCAGAAGTGGCCATTGGATGCCTAACCTGGCTCTGTACTGGTTAATTGAGCCCTAAGCTAAAGCTAACTATAGAATCCAAGACCAGAAGAGACAGGTTTAACTAAAATAATAGGCATTGCATATAACTAAAACAGGATCTGTATGTAAACTCTATTGCGATAAAACAGGTTCACCTACTAATATACTGGAAGGTGACCAATACAGTAGCACAAGCTTAGCTATCTGACGCTGTGCATTTGAGATAATAACAATAGGACAGAAACAAGTCCGTCATAAGGATTCCGATGCACACTCAAGAAACTATGGGAAGCTGCAATTAAGCTATTAGAACATAGGAATACTTGCCTAACAGTCTCTGATTCTGGTCGGAGTGAAAATACAGCAGCAGTAACAGCCCCTTTGTATATAAGGTCATATGGCTCAGTTCTCTGTCTCTCTTCCTCCTTCCTTGGTTTCTGACCTAGATACACAGAGACAGGAAGAGATGTATGTAATAATCTCTGTGAACATTAAGCAGCAGAGCCACTTACTGACAGTAGAGGGCAGGAGATCCCTACATTGTAAATGTCACCTTTTGCAAAGAGTGCATGGGGAGAACTTTTGGTTGGACATCTCTACAAAATTTGCTTCATTGCTGGCACGAAGAGTTAGAGCAGGAAATCATAAAAGAGATTTTATATATATATTTATATATATATATATATATATATATATATATAATAAACACACACACATAGGGCATTTGTTTCTCTCTGAAATTAGGTGCAGGAACTCTCCCTGAGTCACGCCCTGTCTCCGTCCTTCACTGTCCCTGTGTTCCACACACTTTACCTACCTTCCAGTACTGCCCTTTTAGAGAATACAGAACCAAGTATCAATTTGTATGGAATTTGTAATAATTACAAGAAAGGCAGTAAAATGATCCCCTACAGCCAGCAACAATAACCCCCTAGCAACAATGGACCACCTGCAACAAAATAATCCCCCAGCAGCATCAACAAATCTCCCCACTACTAGCATCATTAGCTCCTACAGCAGCTAGCAACAATAGACCCCTCCCTCAACAGTAGATCCCTGCCAGCAACAATTTGCCCCACAGCAACATAAAACCCTTAGCAACAATTGATTCCCCACTATCAGCAGTAGACTTCCCCAGCATCAATAGAGACCCCCCTCCCCCACTCAAATAGATCCCCTCCAGTGACAATAGGTTCCCCAGCAGCCAGCATCAATGGACCCTGCAGTACGCCCCACCACACCCCTTGCCATTACCTACATTCAGTGCTGAAGGTGCCGGAATTGCATTCCCTGTGTTCCCCTATGTTCCCGCTGAAAAAAAAAGACTATATATATATATTATTACTTTTGCAAAAGTAATATTTTTGTTGCATTGGGCTGAAACTATTTCAGTCTAAGGTCATCCTTATTTTTAGACATTTTAGATCTTTTTAAGTTGGAAAATATTCTTTTGAAAACACAGAACATGTTTTGTTACTTTAGATGTAGATACTAGAATGAGTTTATACTTTTCCTGCTACCTTGACCTACTTGATATACAAGTAAATAGTATTAGTTAACAAAAGCACAGTTTCAACGTGCAGTCTGCAAAGTTATAGATCTCCCTATTCTGGCCACAAACTGAACAACCAGTTTTATCTTTTCAACTAACTATACTAATGACAGTGCAAGGCCTATACTGTATTTACAATAATAGCAATTGTGGACAATTCCTAGGACAGCGAAAATGTATAAATTACGATTATCATTTTCCTTATTTTGCTGTCCATTTATGCCTACCTCTAGAACTTTGTGGCTATTTGTGGATCGGATCTGCCAATTGGGGAGCATAATGGATTGGACTCCGATCCATTATGCTCAATCCGCAGATCTGATCCATCCTGCGGGGATCGTCGGCTTGCTTTACAACTTACCTTTTCGTGGAGCGGGTCAATCTCACCCCGTGCAGTAGGTGTCACCCGGTGCGGCGCGCGCCCACCGCATCTGCCTAGGGACGCCCCTGCATCCCACCACCCTTTACAATGCACACCAGCATGCACGGGTTATACAGAGCTGGTGTGAATGAGCCCTTAAAATTTACTGTAGATACTTGTAGACTTTGTAAACTTGTAAGTCTGTGCTGACTTGAAGTCATTAGGTAGTGAAATATTAGGTAGTGAATATATATTAGGTAGTGAATATCATTTACAGAGTTTATTGTTTTACTGCCTAGCTGTACAGTATCTTATTTCTCATTAAATTACACTTTAAAATATTGTATGCTTATTAGTCAATGAACAGACAGGTAATAATTGCACACAAACACATTTACTAAGTGCATACTTTTAATTTGTTGCTGTTCTGAATATTACGAATAGGAGTTGGCAAACTATCGGCTGGCAATGCAGCGTATGGCTGATGACATCATTACTCTTCGCCGTCAAATGAGTGGACTAGAGGCAGAAAACAGTGCTCTTCGCAGTGAACGTAGCCTAAACCAAGATCTGGGGCGCAGCATCCTCAGTGACACAGACATTGATGTCATGACCAAAGCTGAATTAGCTGACCGATTGGGTGAGCAATTTTTTTTTGTTTGTTTTTTTTGTTTCATTAAGCATGCATTCAGATTTCATCTTGTTCTTTTTTAGTGTGTGTTCCAAAACTATTTTAAATACATTTTGGTAAACATCTTAAATACATAATAATTTCATGTGCATTTGCAATGTTGTCAAATTACTTGTCAAAGATGTTTGATAATGTCCTTGATAATAATAATAACAAAAAAAACAAATTGGTGTTCAACTTACAAAGGCACCATTTTAAAGAATAACTTCATTTTTGATGAGAAAAAAATTCCCCTCTGGGTCATCTACATACAGTGCAAGGATTTTAACAAAGTTTGTTGCAGATCCCTACCTTTTGTTATTCTGAAGAAATAGCTGTTTGTCTGTGCCATGTGCAAAGTGAATGAGAATTGGAGTGACTGTATAATTATCAATTGTAGGGTTCTAATAGGGATAGTGGCCTTTAGATATGATTTCCCTTTGGAAATATCTCACTAAAAATCAGATTTTTGTTGTGGGGGATGCCCAAAATCTAGCTTGTATCTTAGTGCAGACTTCTGGGAAAATCAGTAGGCCAATCAGACAAGCAGGAAATTAAAATTCTAGGGGGCGTTCTGTACACTAACTTTATACAGAATGCTTCCAAAATGCCATATTGCATTGCATTTTTATAGAAAATTACAGCTCTGCAGGATGAAAAGGAAAAGTAAATTTAAATAACATTCAATTACAATATGACTTGTGTAGCAATTGTATATGCTATATTTTTTTTTATTTGCTACTTTTTTCCCCATGAAAGTGGAGTTACTCTTTAAATTCCAATGAAATGCGTATTTTGTTGTTTTGGGTTTTTTTTTTACCAAGCTGTATATGTTTAGATATAAGAGAAGGATGAATTTGCTTGCATCATGCACTAAAAGGTCTATAACAGGGTGTAAAGGATGTTGGACATGAAAATCTGTTTCACAAAGTTCTAATGACAATAGAAATGTCTTCTTTTCCATGATTTCCAATTTTTCCAAAGAAAAGCTGGAATATGAGCTTCGCTGGTTGGATTATGAACAGGTTTTCTTGCTATAGCCATATAAAAATTGTATCATGAATGAGGGTGCCAGTTTCACAACTGCAGGTGAGCAGATAATAAAGTTTATTTCCTTTGTCTTTCCTTTGCAGTGACTCTGAAACAAAAACTAGCAAGTGAAACATCGGAGCTACGCGGCATGAGAGATCGGGTCCAGCAGCTGCAGAATGAATTAGTCAGGGTAAGCAATGTAATATCCATTGCCAGGAAATCTATGGCCAATCAAAGAGGGCTGCAAAGCTTCACTTAGTCTACTGATTACACATGAGGGTCAGAACACATAAAGGTAAGGTTTGGGTTTCCCAGTCCATCTCATACTTGGGATCAGGGGCGGACCAGGGGGGATCAGGGGTACAAGCACTAAGCCACTGTAGGGTTTCTTGGTTGTGCAGGAACAGAGCAGTGCAAATTTGTGAACAGAGTATCTGCACCTGAATGCTCATTCAGAGAGCATCTTCTATTTTTTTTAAAGAATAAAAGATACTCTCTCATTGAGGCAGAGAGCTGGAGTGATTGACGTCTAATTTTTAGCCATTTGTACAGTAAAAATAGGCTAGCACTGATGATGTGTGCCCCATCTTTGTCTGCTACAGTGATTGTTACAGTTCCAGCTGCACTACACTCAGTACATTGATTGCTTTGGGTCACTTGTTTGGCACCTTCTCCGTTCATATAAAGCCTTGCATTAATTTCAATACATGCAAGGCACCCTGTGATTGGAGGAGGTGTGGATGAATGTCTCAGCACTGAATGTTTGTTAACTTATTTTTCCTGTGTAAATGGCCAAAGATAATTTTGACCATAATTTAGCATCAGGGGTGGACTGACCATTTCGAAACTCAGGCACTGCCCAAGGGCCAGGGATCAGTAGGGGGCCCCATGAGATGCCCCTGGTACCTTTTTCATAGGCTTTTTTGAGTTTGGGCAAGGACACAGGGGCCCCATGATCCCCTATTGCCCGGGGGCCCCATGAGTTGTCAGTCCGCCCCTGCTTGGGATGTAAGGGTTGATATTTAAAACAATTCACCATACACACCTCTAGCTCTGAGAAATCCATAAATGCAGTACCCACACAATAACAGAAAATCAACAGGGCTGCCAACTACCAAATGCCATTGATGCACTGCAGGCTAGAAAGCCAGCACTAGTAACTATTATTATTATTATTATTATTATACAGGATTTATATAGTGCCAACAGTTTCCTCAGCGCTTTACAATATAAAAAAAAGGCACCAACTAATACATTAGCACAAAAAGTGACAAAGTGTAAGATGTACAGTATATGCAGGGGCGTCCCTAGGGTTGGTGTCACCTGGTGCGATAACACTTGGTGACACCCTCTCCAACAATCCCCGCAAAATGGATCGGATCTGCCGATTGAGCATAATGGATCAGAGTCTGATCCATTATGCTCCGCAATCCGCAGATCCGATCCTACCTGCGGGGATCGTCGGCAGGCAAACTATACGGGGTGACACCGGACCCGCTCCATGAAAAAGTAAGTTGTAAAGCAAGCTGACGATCCCCACAGGATGGATCGGATCTGCGGATTGGGGAGCATAATGGATCGGACTCCGATCCATTATTCTCAATCCGCAGATCCGATCCATCCTGCGGGGATCATTAGCTTGCTTTACAACTTACCTTTTTTGTGGAGCAGGTCCTGTGTCACCCCGTGTGGTAGGTATCACCCGGTGCGGCGCGCACCCCCCACACCTGCCTAAGGAACCCACTGAGTATATGCGATAAGCTTTAGTGATGAATAACCACAAAATAGTTTGCATGTTCTTTATATGAGGTACTACCTCAGTAGTAGATGAAGGTTGGGGTTCATCCACAGATCTGCATTGAGGCAGATGCTCATTCTGACCCTCAGTTGCATCAGACATTGTCATGAGATGCTTTCATTTAGATTTAGATGCTTGTAAGATGTAATCACAGTTAAAGCACAGGGCTTCAGACATTTGCTCCAAAAGCGGCCCTTCTACAAATCGAAGCATGCGGCAGAGGATGGATAGTCACTCCAGCTAAATAGGGAGTTCAATTGTCTGTCAGTGAAATCTTTATGGTAACAGCACCATCAACCTCTTTGATGACATGCTTGTTCAGGTGTACAACTGGAATGTCTACAGTGGGTAGACACCACTTAGCAATAAATTCCCTTTCAAAAGGACAGAAACAATTGAATACATTTTTTATGTGCATTAACATGCAATTTTTCAAGACAAGCTTTCAGTCCATTGGACCTTGATGAAAGGGACATACCCTGAAGAAGGGGGGTGGGGCCAAGCTGCGGATCTGTGTGTGAATGGACACACAGAGCAGCGGGTGCGCCCATAGCAAGCTGCTTGCTATGGGGGCACCCGACAGGAGGGAGGGGCCAAGAGAGCCTGCAGGGGACCCGAGAAGAGGAGGATCCAGGCTGCTCTGTTGAAAACTACTGCACACAGTAGGTAAGTATAGACATGTTTGTTATTTCCCCCACAAAAAAAAACAATGAACCTTTAGAATCACTTTCAATACCAAGTGTATCTTTGTAGCTGTACAGTAAAAGCTCTAAAAGATCCTAGACCCAGTCTGCTACTCTTAGTGCATAGTACTATCTACTGCATCAAGAAGGCTCAATTTGAATCAGAGAGGCACACTTACAAATGAAGGCCCAATAGCTTCAGAATTAGACTCCGGTATGGATGGCTTGCTTCGAGCACCTGCAAGCAGATTGCTCCATTGCACAAATAAAAATCTGGAAAAGGATATAAGGTGCCTTGTGGACGCAGAGGAGGCCTTAACATCACTTGGCAAGACTACAGAGGATGCCGATGAGGACAATTCTATAATAATGGTGGTCCCAGGATCTAGGTTACAGGCATCAGTTCCTTTTGAAGATACCTAGAAATTGTCCCTAGAAGCAAAATAGGAGTATGGGCTGAGGTCACCCATTGCGGCATGACAGTCCACTGTGTGTCTTTGAAAACACATGTTGCATCACATAGTGCAAAACAGTTAGGCCCAAAATGAGGCAAGGCCTTGCATGCTTACGAACTTCAGCAGCTGGTGGTGATGGGGGTTGCAGGTGACCAGAAGTGACCAAGTCACTGTAGGTGGACAGTGGAAAGAGACTGGAGATGGGATAATCCACGAGATGCTTGAAAAGCAGGAGCAACAGCTGGATTTTGTTTTTTTAGGTTGAATGACAGGAGATATGGTGTGGAACTTGTGTGCATTACACTCCATGTTAAAGATAGTCATTACCAGGGTTAGATGGCAATGGCAGGATTTTTTAGAAAAGAAATGGCAACAACTATGAAGTACCTCCCAGTGCTTCAGCCCAACTGGCCTTACTTACTGCATGAGCTTTCAAAGACTGGGTCACATTAGAGGCTGTACCACATCTCTGGACCTGGAGAGTGCAATCTACAGAGGTCTGAAAAGCACAACAATACAGATCCCAGTACATTTCAGGTTAACCCTTGCAATCTTGCAATCCAGTGGGGTCCATAATGGTAATAATGGTCACCAGAACAAGTAAAGGGGAGGGACACTAATACTAAAAAAGAAGTTTTGCTTTTTCCGTACAGTTTACTTTACAAAGATTTTTTATTGGGATTTTTAAAATTGTATAACAAGGGGTACAAAAGATTACACACAGATAAGTGCATTGAAAAGGATATAAAAAGGAGGGTACAGCAGTTGAGGCTAATACATGACAGCTAGCCAGTGTGAACACAAGAAAAAATACACAAGATTTCTTCACAAACTGAAAAGTTCCAGAGAATATACAAATCTAGTAAAATGATGTCACATAAAGCAAATTAGTGGGGAAATAGATTTCCAATGAAAATGTAAGCCTCAAAGAAAGCAGGGAAGGGGAAAAGGGCTCCAACTCCAGGGCAGGTTGCCAGGAAAGAGGGAAGGGGTAAAGGAGGGCCACCTACCAGCATAAGTGCTCATTTGCACTTGCTTCGACTTCAACACACATTAAAGCGCATACTAATTCAACATGCTTTCTTGATGTGTTTTTGATGCTCCAATAATGCTTCAATGATGCTTCAGTGGTGCTTCATTGGTGCTTCAGTGGTGCTTTATTGAAGCTTTAATAAAGCTTGGAAAATTCCCTGTGTGCATTGATTTTTTATTTGTTTTAAAGTGGCCAAATAGAACCCCATCTCAGTAGTACCCCCATTCAGCAGATCCTAAGCTCATTGGTACCCTTATTCAGCTGATCCCCAGCTTACTAGTACCCTCATTCAGCAGATCCCCTGCTCAGGAGTACCCCCAGCTCTGCTGATGCTCCACTCAGTAGTAACCCCAGCTTTGCTGATTCTCACTCAGTAATAACCCCTAACTCAGTGATCTTCCACTCAGTAGTAACCCCCAGCTCTGCTGATCCTTCTATGGAGGCTTTGAAGACACTTTGAAGTGCCATAAAAGCAACATGGGGTATAATTTTTGAAACAAAGCAAAGAAAGCAACTTGTAAACAGGACTGTGATGCTGGTCATACATATTACAATTTTCTTGTGCAATTTTTCTTTAGACTTTCCAAAACTGTATAATATGAGGTAAAATCTAAACACTTTTAATTTGTATGGAATCAGCTAGGGCCTTGCTATGTAGTAATTGAAGGCAAATCTAAAAGATATTGAATAATTGTATAATGTATGGCCAGATTAAGCTTACCATTTTATTTAGTGACAAGTGCTTTGACCGGTATTCAGAGTGCTTTAAAAAAAGCGTGTTCAATGCCACATTTTGAAGCAAGTATAAACGAGCCCTAAGTGGCCTAAGGAGGGAAGAGAAAGGAAGAACCAGGTGGAATGGGGGACTTTCCTGGGAAGGGGGGATAAGGGAAACAAAAATGGGGAGAATGTCCTGTGCAGATCAATCCATTGTGCCACCCTAGGACAGGCCATGCAAACGGTTATATAGATAACAGGAAGTGGTCCAGAGCTAAGTGGTCATTAATGGTAATCCAAGGATTCCATACCTTCAGGAACTTGGAATGGGTGTGTCCCTGAAAATAGACGTGAGCTTCTCATGCACCATGGTTCCCTTAAGGTGCTATTTAACCTCAGCAAAATTAAGGGACAGTTGCCAGCAGGCCTTAGATATGTTCTGCCGTGCTGCCAGGGCAAACTCCACCAGCTTCCTCTGGGCTTTAGTCAAGGATGGAAAGAGCTTATGCAACAAGGCTTCTCCCAGGGAATGCTTGCTAACTTGACATTTAGAACTGATCTAATCAGAGAACAGACCTGGGTCCAAAATCATGACACTTTCAGGCAGAACCCTTTCCTGTACAGTTTAATTGTGTTGGCAAGAAATACTTATCTTTACATCTGTCAATGGATGGATTGCTAATTAATACTATTTAGGGTGTTCATTTTGCATGTCATTCGAACAGCTGCTGTCTAATGTTATCAGCAGAGAACAGCCCTGGAATAACTGGGACAAATGACAAGGTTTTTTGTCTGTGCTGTAGTTTATGAGCTCCAGAGCTTTGTTATGTCTTGGCCAATAACTAGCTTATACACTAGCACAAGTCAATAAAAATCTCATTATATATAATGCAATGTTTTCGCTTTACAGGACAATGTACTCACATGGAATTCAGTGTATTGATCTATTCTCAGCAAACTTTCTTATCTTAGCAGTGTGAATTGCTTGTGTTGTTTTTCAGAGAAATGATCGGGAGAAGGAACTACTCCTGCTACAAAGAGCGCACCAACAACAGCAGACTGTACTAAACCAGTACCACCAGAGACTGGGTCGGGCTAAAAATTTACAGGACACTGTGCGAAAGCAGGAGAAGGTGAGGCACCTAGGTTAAGATGCAGTCTATAGTAATACTTTAAAGCTTACTCCTTTTTTTTTTTTTTTAAAGGAATGGTACATACATTCAATGAAAAGTGTACTTTGTGCTGGTGGCTACTGTCTTAGCTGAAATCTTCCACAGTGGTAATTTTCCAGTACTGGGGGGGGATAATACAAGCCATTGGACCCATCATGGGCACTTGTCAAGAACACAATGAAAACAATTAAAGGGGCTCTATGAATTGAAGATGCGGACCTTTCATTCATCCGCCTTCTCAATTCACAGAGCACTTTTTATTGCTGGAAGCTCCAGTATAGCTTCCATGAATAGATGAGATTGGTGGATAAGGCAGGCATAGTCTGCACTATTGTCAAGTGCATATGACAGGTCCAGAATGCCCCTCAGCACCAGATGACTGCTGCTACAGGGTTAGAAGACTAACAGTGGTAATTATGACAGCAGCCACCATCACAAGGTACTCTTTTTATTGAATGCAGGTACCATCCCTTGTGCAGATTTAAAAAAAAAAACAAAACTTAGACTTTATCAAAGAGCACTGCTGTACTCTCTGCTTATAAGGGAGGAAGCATAACCAAGGGAGGAAGCATAACCATCCAGGAACATAATGATAAAATTAAGTCCATGGCGTAAGTACACTCCATGGCAAAAGTACAGTAACACATGGGGGTAGATTTACTCAAACTAGTGCACTCAGAAACTGGTGCAGCTGTGCATGGTAGCTTCATCTTCTAACTTCAGCTTGTTCATTTAAACTTTGACAATACAGCCTGAATTGCATTAATGTGAATGCATCCATAAACACAGTTCTGATAAGGGACATTCACAAACAACATATCCTATTATTCTGCCTGTTCTGTGTGCAAAAAAATGGCTCTGTCCTAACAATCCACCCTTCTCCTAAGACGTGCTCCTCGGATTAACCTCCCATCACCTAAGTTTTACAAACATCAATTACCACCCATCAGTCAATATTTCTCATTTACTGTGTTCCCTTTTCTGTGAAGATAAAAAAGACATACTACAGAAAACACTTACCTCTCTGTCCAATCCTTCGCCTAGCACAGATCATTTGTGTCTAATGGCACATTTGTGTTGGTCTTGTTTTTATCTAGGTAATTGAGAAAATGGAAAAACTCCTGGACAATAAACTCAGGGATGAGAAGAAGAGTCGTACTGACAAAGGAGACAGAGGTGATAATACCAGTACTGAATACATAAAAGGACAGCATTGACTACTGTTATGTTTACCCCACGTAATTCATTTTGTTACCTCAAAATGAAGTTTAGTGACATATTTTAAACAGCGCCAGGGACAGTACTTTATATGAAGCTTGAATGTTGAATGTGCTGGTGGCTGCGCTGTTCCTTGAAACCTTCATTCATCTGCCCCCCAGGTACCCCTGTAGCTATGATCTTCCAGTGCTGCGGGGGTTAATACAAGCATCTCCACCTGCCACAGGCACTCAACAAAAATCAATACACTTCACCTTAAAATTGTATCAAAAGTAAAAAAGTTTTTTTTTTATTTTAGACAGAGTGCTAAGGGGTTAATACCCCTGTCTGTTTTTTTTTTTAATCGCTGTCTATGTCCCTGTTAGAGAGTCTCACGTATTCCCGTTTGTCTTGGTGACCACCATCTTTTGGACTAAAGTTGTTGTATAACAGTAATAGAGAGGAAATTATCCAGTGTAGACACTTCTGGTGGCATCTATCTAAGACACCATCTCCCTCACTTTGGAGAGGTTTCCTTTCACTTACTATTGCATCTACAGAACTGAAAGTAAAGGGACACAGATGGCAAAAAAATGGGACATATACATACATATATATATATACATATATATATATATATATATATATATATATATATATATATATATAAACACACACACACACACACTGTATACTTAGTTTTGCCAGCAACCATCCATTCCTTGGACATGTTACTAGACCATAGGGGCAAAAAGGATTGATATGTAAAATTCAATCATTGCAACTTTTATTAGAATATGGCTGTTTCCCTATCTATATGTACATATGTACATTAGGGGCTCTTTCACCAGACGGATATGGAGTGTGGTGCCCTCTGAAGAGTGACCCATGTTCAGATCGCTTTTCAGACAGCATTTGACAGGCAGTGAGGTGGTATTATATCACCTCCCCACCTCCTGATTTAACTCTATAAGGCTGCACTACCACACATTACATAGCATGATTTGCACACAATTTCAGTACAGCCCCTATTGAACTCAATGGGCAAGTTTGACAAGTGTGTAGTCTGCTTTCTCCGATGCAGGTGGCACTCAACATGAGTGGTACCACAGCTAGAGAAGAAGTCAGGAGAAACCTGGTATCTCTATGGTTTCCTGGTCCCCTGAGGTAGCATTCTGGTTGGCTACGCTGCATTTAGGTGACCCTTGGTGGCCATCTTGTGTCAGCAGAGTCTTTTAAAGTCCTTGCCCCTAGGAGAGGTAAAAAGCTCCCATCTGTCAGGGAAAGTGATAGCAACAGGAATAGATTCTTGACAAGGAGGGACAGGCTAGGGACACACCATCCTATTTTGGAAACCTCCCCATTGGGACCAGACTGGCCAGACCAGGCCACCTTCTGCCCTCTGAGACAGTGTCGGTGCACCTAAACCTGCTGTGATATCAAGTCACATGGAACTGTGAGTGTTTCTTAACATGGCACTCTCCCACTGGGCTGTCTGTTAAGTTTAGCCTTTCCTTTAATACAAATTCTTGTTCCTGCAACCGAACTCTGTGTAATTACTCCGCTGCACTGCACCTACCCACAAGCATGCCATTTTTTAAAAACTCTACACCCTGATTTAAAAATGTCATGACCGCTCAGCCAACTGTTTTTACCAGCAACTAACTGCCTGTCTAAAAGATACCTAAAAATAAATTACAGGTTATATTGGAACCTCCTATCCCGTAAAAAATTGACTATATATTTCAACCTTTAAGGTGCTGACATTTAACCTATAGCTTACTAGACATGCAAGCAGCAAAAAATTGGAAAAGGACAGTGAAGGAAAATGAAAACCGCTAATATTCATTTCATCATACCACTAGTAAAAAAAAAAAGGTAGTGCAGTCATTCCATGATCCAATGATCTCACTGGCCCATGATCAAAACTGTTTGCCTTCAGGCACTGCTTGTGGTCTTCCTGGGGCATTTTTTTATGAGCCCCATAGCAGCTGGTCACAACGCATGGCGTTTTAAAAATGCAATGAAGTAGACTTTTTAATTCTCTGTATTTGTGACAGTGATGACTTGTTTGACAGTTTGCTATGGATAAAGCTTTGCTATTCAGCCAGAACTGGTGTAAGATGTATAGCTTGCCATAAGCAGATGAAGGGGGACATTAATCTTAAACTAGAGGGTAAATGTGTAGTCTGAGAAATAGTTCTGTAATAAGGCATAATATAAATGAAAGAGAACACTGAGAGTGACAACTGGAAGTGAGCACATTAGGGAGCATGTTTAGCGTGGAAACATTGAATACATCATTGTAAATTCATGTCTGACATCTGAAGGATTTCTCTTCTGTTGTTTCAGCTTTTCTGCCATGTTTCAGTTAGTTCCACACTGAGCAATCCTGTAGCCTTAACCTGGATGGCTTACCAAAACTCTTATACTGTCATCTGCCATGCATTGTCCAGAATAAGTCCAATAACACTAGTAAAGGTCAGCCTGAGGATTGTTACTGCTCAACCCGTGAGAGAAACATCTCAAGGGATATTGTTAGGTCAAGAAAGTAACATAGCACTCCCTATTTGTAAAAATACAATTATTATGAATGGCTTGTTTAAATGGTTTGGCTCAATTTTAGTTTTAGGTAGGATCTGCCTTGCTCAGCAGAGGATGCTGATCGGAGCAGAGTGGGTGGATGACAGGTCCGTGTTCGTTCCTTTTATGCAGAGCATACAGACCACTCTGCTCTGTGGGCAGTCAGGTATAAACTGACCAGCTAACCGTTTACACCCGAATGCCGTTTAATGCGATCTGCCTAGATGGAGGGGAACAGATCTCCTTCCACTTTATTTAGCAATACATGGACTATCTGATCAGGTCCGCCTGAAAAAATGACAGGCGGACCTGATTGGATCACCCGTGTGAAAGGGACCTAACACTTTTTAATGTTCTAAGGTTCTATATCTCGTTTTCGCTATATGCATACAATCTTTGTTATACATGAAAAAGGACTCCCAGAGCACTTTAACTTAGGTAATATAAAGGTAAAGAGACAGCAGAGTATTAGCAGCCTATCTTTTGTCTCCTTTTCTCTGATTGAAATCCAGTACTGAGCCCTCTAAAAGGGGATGGGGCATTGCTATAAGTCATTCACTTGTGTGTATAATATCCAGCTTTGGTTATTGAGTATGGTAAACAGGCTTTTTTTTAAGCAAAGATGATAGCTAAATAGGTAAAAATGAGACCTGAGTTGCACATACTGGCTGTATGTAAGAATTCTAAATATTCCAATTAAATATTTTATATTAACTTATCTAAAAAATGAAAAAGCAAGTTTTAAAAAAATTTTTTTATCCTAACCATTATAAAGAAAGAAAAATATATATGAAACCATTTTACATTTCTTTTAAAGGTGGCATTAGATATCAGTAACATGATGGCCATTACCTCTGATTTTTACATCTATGATGTCCATTGGCCTATGATGTACCAAATTAGTTGGACATATTTGGTCATTAAACTGGTGCTCTTAGTGCTGTAATAGGAATGCGACACAGGTCTGTAAGTACTTACACCAGTAACCTGGTGAGCCAAAATATTGGTTTAAAAAATATGTTTTTAAGTTAGATTCAATGGGCACCTAAAATACCTTGTATCAGCTGACCAATACATCAACAGAATGGATAAAACCACTAACCCTAGGTTCACATCTCTGCTGGTGGTGCCGCTGCGGATCCACACAAAAATTCGTGCAGCCGCTCCACCCGCACAGAGAAATGCAGACCCATGGGCGGGTGTCATTAGTTCTAATGGCACACTGCTCGCACTGGAAAACGCAACTGTACTGGGAACTGAGGTTCCCGTGCGGGCTGCGTTTTCCAAAGAAGTGCAGGGACTTCTTCCCTGCATGTCACGGGCACGGGAGTCCATTCAAATGAATGGGCTCTCGTGCCTGTGCAAAACACAGCCCACACGGCCGCATATATGTGAAGCAGGGGTAAGATACAACAGCAGGGTAATAGGATTACTAGGAGTGGTGATAGGAGAGAATGTGGTATAAAAAAAGTGAATGAGATTATGATATATACTAATAATAGGCAAGAACCTGATAAAAGAAAACCTTGTGTGCACACAAAGTATTAAACACGACAGCACTGTTGAAGTGTATGTACAGTCATGTCTTGTGGAGAGAGCAAGGAAGGGTTTGAATCCCTGTCAATTTATTTTTTGTTGTCCACATGGGGACACAGACTATAATAAAAACCTAATGGATTTTATCCCTTCCTCATTCTGTCCAAAACTAAAAAAAACCTTTGGACTATACAAGTGGGAACACAGCGAGATCTGTGAATAGGATGAACTATGGGAATAAAAACATATGACTGAGAACCTGACTGATGACATGACATTAAACACTATAGTGGTAATTGTTAACTCATTTTCAGGAGTTCGAGTTGACATTCTGCAGGGGGAGGTTTATTCTGCATTACTAGCTGAGAACACACGTTTAAGGGAAGAACTGGATAAAGCTCGACAACCTACAACAGTGTTGACTCAGATCCATCCGGTAAGTAGGATAATAGGTTAGGTTTGCACCTTTATGTTTCCTTGCATTTCATAACGTGCTTTTGATGAGCATTTTGCACATGCATTGATGTACGTTTTTATGCATCATGCGTTTTTCATGCTGCCCAATAACCAACCATTTGGGTTTGTAACCAGGGGCTCAAATTGCATGCAAAACATATTACATATGCGGTTTCATGAATTACTATTGACATCAATGTGCCTCAAAATGATTGAAAGCAGACAAAAAAAGCCAGAAATAAAATATTTTAAACAACGTGTTGTGGCACACTGCACAGGTGTAAACAGACTCCCTCTATAACATTGCCTTTGATGATGAATGCGTTTTAGCGTTCTCTGAGGTGCAGGTTAAAATACAAATGTAGAGTCTGTAGGACGCATTGGGGTAGATTTACTAAAACTGGAGCATTCAGAATCCGATGCAGCTGTGCATGGTAGCCAATCAGCTTCTAATTTCATGACACGCTGATGTGAAAAGCTACCTTTTTAAAAGTAATAAAAGACAAATAATACCCCAAGTGAGCATTACAAATATATAGGAATAAATTATGTTCACATTTCCTAAAGAAAGCTCTAGAAAGTATAAACCTGTGCATATTAGGCCCCTCTCACACGAAAGATCTGATCAGGTCCACCTGTCGGTTTTTCAGGTGGACCTGATTGGATGGTCCATTTACCCCTATGGACAACAGGTTTATCTCCAGGTTCAATCTGGTCCGCTAATTGAAAAAAAAAACAAAACAAAAAAAAAAAACATGGATAGAGATCGCTCCTTATCCGTTTAGGCAGATTGGATTGGAGTGTAGTCGGGTTGTAAATGGGCAGCAGAGTCCATTTACACCTGGACATCCATACAGTAGAGTGGGCTCTGTCCATGTCTGCTCTGCAGAAAGTGACGGACACTCATGTGCCATCTGCCTGCTCTGCACTGATCAGCAGGGGACCTGTGAGCTGATTCCCTGCTGATTGGAATGGAATCCGCACCACGTGAAAGGGCCCTTAGAGTAAAAATTCTGTGATCATTCTCGGTGATAATAGTAAACAAGACAAGGGCGAATCTTCCTAATCAGAGCACAGATAGTAATAAAAACCTGACAGGTGTTCTCATCCATCTCCATTTTATCCAAAACTGAAAATGTTTTGTCTATAGTTATACTGTGGGTTTGACCCTGTCATCCCTTCCATTTATCTTTGGGTGCAAGGCACAATGGTAGTATGTCTATCCTTCTATCCTAATATAATCTTGTGGCTTATCTACTCAATTTTGAAATGTTTCATTAAAGCAATTCTAAAGGTTAATTATTTTTTTTTTTGGAAATAACAAACCTGTCTATACTTAACTACTGGATCCTCCTCTTCTCAGGTCCCCTGCAGGCCCCTTCCTGGCCCCTCTGTCCTATCAGGTGCCCCCACAGCAAGCAGCTTGCAATGGGGCACCCACTGCTCCATGTGTCCATTCATGCAAGGAGCAGCGGCTTGCCCCCCTCTCTCCTCATTGGCTGAATGGCTGTGATTGACAGCAAGCAGGAGCCAATGGCTCCTGCTTGCTGTCTCAGCCAATGAGGAGGCAGAGACCCGGCACAGCCGAGGCTGTTCACATTACTGGATCACAATGAGGCTCAGGTCATATTGAGGGGGCTGGGGGCACTGCAGTACATAGAAGGTTTAAAGGTAAAAAAACTTTCAGCCTTTACAACCTCTTTAATTTAGTAAGTATAATTTTGCATTTACTTTATGATACATAAACAGAGAATCAAGTATTTTCTTTTTCCAGGTTCCTGAACAATTAACTGACAGTGAGAAGTTTTCTCTTCTAAGCAAATTGGAAAAGTTACAAGCAAGAGTACAGAGTCTGGAGAGAGAGGTTAGCTCCCATACTATACACATTATCAGTGGACTAATATACCTGATCTGATTCTGTTCTCCTTTCGTGTTCTTCTCTAACATTATCACCTCTCTTACTGTCAGCTGGAGGATTCAGCCCGGCGATGGGGCCGTGACAAACAGCAATTCCTTACACAGATTTCAGAGCAGCAGATGGGATTCCGCCGGACCCAGACCACTATCCTGCACCACTTTTCTACTGTAAGAAAAAAATAGCCATTTATTCCTTAATTTCTCTTGTGTTGGATGATAGTTTTTTTCTGAAAGAGTGTCTAATCCTGAGTTTAAAGAATAGCCTTTTTTGTTTTCTAAATTAGAGTGACACCAGATAACATGGTCAGGTTTCTGTGGTAATGAGCCCTTGTAGAATACCAATTCAGGGTTCCCCAGGGCATGGCGTCTAGACCCCAGCCTACTTCACCAGGGTCTCTGATGGTGGAGATGGACATACAGCAAACTGGAAGCAGGTCACAGCCCCAGGTACGCCCAGCTGAGGCGAAGACCACTTGCATGTGCAGAGTACAGATGGTAGGAGACAGAAGAGGATCCAAGAAACGAGCCAAGGTCAGAGCGGGCATCAGGCAAGCAAAATGGTTGATAAGCCGGGGTTGGTACACAGGAAGTCAGACACAGAAGACAAGTAATACACGGCAAACCAGGAGCTCCGAGAAACTGGGAAGTTGTACAAACAGAGCGGGCTGCTCTAAGCATGTCTTGTATAGGGAAGCAGACTGGGAGGCAGGCCAGGAAGTGATAGAAGGGAAAGGGACATAAATCCACAGTAGAGCAGGCATCTCCTATAGGTGAACACAGGTGAACTGCACATGTGAATAAAAACACAGGTCTAGCAGAAGCACTGCAGCAAGGTAGTAACAAATTCACAGGCAGGAATCTGCAGGCTAAACTGTGAAAGACATCCTCAAAAATAATCCATACACATCCACTACTTAAAGGATAAGTTCACCTTTTTAGAAAAAAAAAAATAAATGCACAATTTTTTGCATTTAAAAAAATGTGCATTTATTATTTTTGTCTGCAAGAGCCAGGACAGGATTGCACCAGCAATCAGTAGACTGCTGATGCCATGCAGGTCTCCTGCAGACCTGTCAGAATATGTGCTTGCCATACGGGATGTATGAACAAACAGATATTCTGACAAGAAGAATGAACAAACTATCATGGCACTTCACAGTGCCTTGGTAGTTCATTGAGGACTACAAGCTGATGGCTGCTAAGGCTGTCGGGACTTGTAGTCTCTCATTCACAAATGACTGTGAATGAGTGACGTGTCCGTGTGGGTGGAGTTCTGAACAGCTACCTTTTTTTTAAATTTGACAGCTAGCGAGGGGGGAGAAGATTCCCCACTGGCTGTCAAAGCAGGGATCCGTGGGAAGAGGGGGCGGTCTGAACGTAATACCCTGAATATGGGTGGTGTAACATGTAACATGTTACGAAAGGTGAACTTATCCTTTAAACCTAAACTAAAGACTGAAAATTAAAAAAAAATTGTAAACAGGCAGGTTTTTTTATTTTATAAGGGACACAGTGCCTCTTCAGCAAAAAAATACATTTATCTCCCTTTTTGCAATCCTCTGCAAAATGTACACAGAGCTGTACATTTCTGGTACAGTGCCAGTGTGTTGGGATGAATGACTCCTCCACATGCACAGGAGTGATGTTATCCCACACAGGTCATTCAAGAAACCTGAAGACCTGGGCAGCACAGTGGCTAAATGGTTAGTACTTCCACCTGGCAGTACTAGGGTCACTGGTTCAAATCCAACCACAGCACCACCTGCCTGCAGTTTGCATGTTGTGCCTGCGTGGGTTTCCTCTGAGTACTCCAGTTTCCTCCCACTCCAAAGACATGCTGGTAGGGTAATTGGATCCTGTCTAAATTGGCCCTAGTATGTGTATGTATGAATGTGAGTTAGAGACCTTGGATTGTACACCCCTTGAGGGTTAGAGACTGATGTGAATGTACAATATATATATATATATAAGGCACTGCATAAATTGACAGTGCTATATAAGTACCTGAAATAAGACCAGCAATCAGAAGAACTTGGGGAGAATATGCCAGGACCAGTGATAGAGCTTGTGGGTGCCAGACCATTGGAGAATAGTAGAGTATTCTTACCTTTAAATCCACTGTAATGGCCCTGTAATCTGTTTGTCATGATTTTGTGTGTGTGTGTTTCTACCTCCTTGTTACGTTAAAATGAATTTTAACCAGAATTTATGAAGGCCATAGACGGGCCGTTTATCAACTGAATTTTCGGCCGATAAATGAAAAATCAGTCGGCCCCGTTGCCGATGCTGCCATCAGTGTCCATAAAAAATGGCCGTTTTCCAGCATGACCGATAAAAATAAATGAGAAGATCCGCGAAAAACGGCCGATGGGCTGGCCCCCCTAACGGCGTGAATATCGGCCAATTTTTCGTGCAAACAAAAATTCAGCCGATAAACGACCCATCTATGGCCTGCATTAGTGTCACTTTAAAACTAACCTTTAAGTCTACAAACATCAGTCATTGCCAATGATAGTAGTGTACCACCAAAGCACTACAAATCAAATAGAGCTCAATGATTTGTAGCAAACTTGTCCACTTCTTTTCTTCTGTTCTTCTTTATCTCAGTAGTTCTTTGAACTCTCACAGTGATAATATCAACTTTCTCTCTAGAGACTTAGCAGCTGTCCTCTGCAGTGCTTCTGTCACTCCTATGATATCTGCCTTCACACAAGTCAAACCAACCATCTTCACAAATGCTGACAGCATTCTTGGTGTAAAGGCCAGTTGATAAGAAAAAAAGCCTTCAACAAGTTTCTCCTAGTTTTCAGGAGACTGTCATACTTTGAAGATCATCTGTCCTGTCTCCCTGTAGATCAGTTGGATGTCAAGTGTATACCTAATCATCTAACTGCCCATTCCAAAGCCGTTAATCCACACGATCTTACAGAAACAGTGCAACATTTCAAAAATCATGCTAAACTGTTATACAGCAAACTGTCACTTTCAGCCTTTCCGCCTCATCCTGGCATCAGACTACTGACTGTTAGGCTGAATTCACACCTGAGCAGAGCGATTTTCAGGAGTTTTTATTTGAGCATTTTTGAATGTTTTTGCAAGTGTATACAGGCATTTTAGAAGAGTATTACAGGCATTCTACATGTTTACTCAAACTTCAGGCTTTTTTCTTTAGCCATTAGGGAGAGGAGATTAGTTAAAATAGGCTAAAAAAAAAGCCTGAAAAATGCTCATTATCAGGCATTTTCAGGCCTTCCCATTGAAGTCTAGTGGCCCAAAAATGGTCAATTCTGCCTGAAACGTAGCTCATGTACTTTTTGGAGCAGCAGACATTCATCTACAAGCGAGATGATGCTTACATGTGGGCTATTTAATTCAATCGGTTTTTGTTTGTTGAGCATTTTTGAGCTTTGAGCTACAAAACTCTCAGGTGTGAATGGGACCTAAGTTGCTAATGCTGGCCGTAGATGTAATAATGCAATCATAGGATTATATGCTCACAAAAATTAAGATGGTTGTAAACCTCAGACATGAAATATGAACAAAGCTTATCCTTCTATAGTGTGTAATTCACTAAGTGTCATTTCTGTCTGCTGCTTTGTTCCTCTGCTATCTTCATGAGTCACTTCTGACAGGTTTTCCTGACACTAAGAGGCAAAAAAAGTGACAGGGCAGGGAGCTCCCCTGTCACCTTGGTTAGCTTATGCTATGAGCTGTCTTTTTTTTTTTAACTTTCCTGAATGGACCTTCTTTCCTGAATTGGAGTGTGTGGGAAGATCCTATGAACCAGGCAATTTTTGTGTATTTGAGATTTTCTACTCTGGGCTGTTTGACTATTTTTGAATTAAGTGGCCACTGGGGTGTATGGTTAAAGGTGTGAAGCACAGGCATTTTACCACATTGGATTGCTGGTACATTTTTTGTGGAACACATTGCCCAAACCTAATATGGGTGTGTGGACTTACAACTGGCTATATCTAATATATTTTATATTATATACAATGTATATGTATTAATCATGTTTATTTTATGTATTTGCACTATGTGATTTAAGTGCACTTTACAGGAATTTTATGTATTGAATTAATTTTTGTGGGTAGCACTGTATGCTCTTTATATAATCTTATGCTAATATCCTTTATGATATTTATACAGCAGCATGGTGGCTGTTTAGTTAGATTTTTTTTGTTCTTATTTAATAATACACTCGTTTGATATACCCATCAATTTGATGAAGTAGTTGTATCTTTCGGAAACTGAAAGAACTAAATGGGAGGCTTCATCAATAAATTTGAGTGAAAATGGCAACCAGTTGTGCTAACAAATCCATCTGAAACCTCCAAAACCAATCTTTTTCCTTTTTTGTTCAATTCAATGATTGTTTTAGAGCAAACGATGATGTAAAATTATCAAATCTATGCTCATTTAGTTTTATATGTATGGCAACCTAGGCCTCCTTCACACAGGCATTTACCCTCCTACATCGAATTCTACCAGCAAGAGTCAGTAGATACTTGTGGCTAGAATGACAGGTACATACAAATACCAGTGGACACTCAACCTGGGTTTAGTCAAAGGGTTATTTCAGGTAAGGGCTGGAGGGATCTACAGGACAATCCTCTGATACCTCCCCCTGCTCTAAAAACTTGGAGAAGCTTATAGAAGCCAGTAGGCGGAGGTGAGAAGGGGATGATCTGCATATTTATGGAGTCTGACCAATCCCAGGCAGGAGGTCTGGCAGTGTGGCAGACAAGTCCATAAATATGACAGAGCCTGGCTAGAAGGGGAGTCAGGTGGAAGATGGAGTGCTAAGAAGTGTTGCTGTGTAGCCTGGGACGGGGCCCCTGGAGAAGGGGGGTCTGGCTGGAGGCTGGAAGCTGGAGGGAGAAAAGAGAAGAACTGAAGGAGGGAGCTCCACTGCCTTACAGTACACAGGGGAAGGACAGCCTGCAAAGCTTGGAGAGGAACGAGCCCAGCTATAAAGGCCTGAAAGCATTTCTATCCATACAGTAGCTGCATTACAAGGACAGTGTGAGTACCTCTACACCCCCAGGGCCTAGAAGGGAGAAGTCTGCTAGATGCAAGTTCTTGGCAAGTCTTCAGTGGACAGTTTATAGCTTACCCAGTCCCATGTCCTGGGATCAGATACAGTAGCCAGGTGGGCTGGTATTTTGATCACTTAGAAGACTTAGAGCTCCTTCAAGCTGGGACTTTGCTAAAAATCCTTTCAGAGGGGACTCAGAGCTCCTGCAAGTTGCTTACTTTGCTAGACTGTCAGGTACTGTAGGCTGGACCACAGTCATTCATCTGTCATTTTTCTCACATTTTCTAGGAGTGAAATTATCCTCAAATGTTGGGCACCCCATAACCCCTTTACTCTATCCAAGTTAAAGTCCCTAATAAACCTAAAAACAATAAGCCTATGGACTGTTTTTTGTTTCTGGATGCAAGTGAAAAATGCGTGTTGCCTGGCTGTGCAGGAAGTAAAGGGGGGACCCAAAGCCAGTGGGGGTAGTACTACAGTAACATTCATAGTGTCCTGACCACCCTACTCAAACTCACCAACGACCTGCTAACCGCCAAAGCTAATGGCCACTACTTAGTCCTCCTACTCCTCGACCGACCTCTCCGCGGCCTTTGACACAGTTGACCACCCCCTCCTCCTTTAAAAAACTATACTCCCTTGGCATCAGAGACTCCGCTCTCTCCTGGCTCTCCTCCTATCTCAACACTCCTTCAGTGTTACCTATAACGCTGCCACCTCCTCCCCCTCTCTCCCCCTCTCTGTTGGGGTCCCCCAAGGTTCTGTCCTCGGGCCTCTTCTCTTCTCCATCTACACCTCCTCCCTTGGCCAACTGATACACTCCCACGGCTTCAACTACCACCTCTACGCTGATGACACGCAAATCTACCTCTCTACCCTCCAGTCTCCACCCAAATTACCTGCCTACTGAACGACATATCAGACTGGATGTCACTCCACTTCCTCAAATTAAATTTTTCCAAAACCGAGCTCCTAGTTTTTCCCCCCAGCCTATGCTCCCCCCCCAACCTCTCCATCACGACCAATAACGTCACCATCAGTCCCACCACGCAAGCCAAAGTTCTAGGTGTCACTCTAGACTTCAACCTATCCTTCCAGCCACATGTCCAATCGCTGGCAAATTCATGCAGGCTCCACCCCCACAACATCTCCAAAATACATTCGTTCCTAACCCCAGACACTACTAAACAACTCATTCATTCCCTTATTATCTCATGACTCGACTACTTCAACTCCCTCCTCACCGGCCTACCTCATCACAGACTCGCCCCACTTCAGTCTATCCTGAACTCAGCGGCCAGACTCATCAACCTTACCAACCGCTCCGTATCCGCCACCCCCTCGCCCCTCTGCCAATCCCTCCACTGGCTTCCGATTGCCCAACGCATAAAAATTCAAATTACTAACATTGACGTACAAAGCTATTCATAATACTGCCCCAAACTACCTCACCGACCTGATCGCTCCTCACAAGACCACCTACTCTCCAGTTCCCTGGTGTCCTCCTCCCATGCCCGACTCCAGGACTTCTCCAGGTCTTCCCCCATCCTCTGGAACTCACTACCCCAATCCATCAGACTGTCACCTACCCTCCTCACCTTTAGGCGCACCCTGATAACCCATCTCTTCAGGGAAGCCTACCCCGCCCTCACCTAACAGCCGATCTCCTCCACTCCTCCTACCACTCCATCCCCCACAGCCATTTCCTCCTGTACCACTATCCCCTCCCTCCTGGATTGTAAGCTCCAAGGAGCAGGGCCCTCAAGCCCTGTATTGTCTCATGTACTGTCCCCCACTATAATGTACAGCGCTGAGCAAACGTTTTGGCGCTATATAAATAATGTATAATAATAATAATAGTGTATGTGTCTTATCTTATAATTTGTTGGTAAAATAATTTTATGTTGTTTAAATACTTGACTTGTGTAGTGGGCTAAATTTGTGCTTGTGGGATTTTGCACAATTTTAGGAGAGCATTTTTTCAATGGTATAGTATTAGACTGTCCTTTTCAATACTGGACAGGGTCTCTTTAAATACTTTGTGAGCCTCTACCTAACATTTATTTGTAAAAGTCAGTTGGACACTACTGAGGTGCAACTTTAGTCTAGCTGTGAATGTATTCACACACAGCCGATTTTTATTTCACTAGATGAATTTACTTTAACCACTCTGTACTTACCATTATTCTTCTTGGCTTTGCAGAAGGACCCAGACCCTCCCACAAAGAGACATGTCAAGCTTGATCCTTTAATTTAACTTTGAACTTCAAGAGAGCAACACTCCTAATGGTTTTTAAACTGTTACAAAAGCAATGGACAAATAACTTTATCAAGGCAATAAAGTATTTTACTGGAATCCATTTAAAGCTCCCAGTCCTGGAGATATACAAGAGAGCCTATAAATGATCTTGAAATATTTCTGACACCACCCAGGAGAAAGGAAAACACTGAGTGAGATCTAATACACAGGATGCCGGGAATTGTATTGAATGAAAGAAATTATTTATGTTTACAGCTTTATTTTTAAGTTTCAAATTAATGTTGAAAGTGGTAAAATAATTTGTTTCTTTATGAGGCAATAGGAACCATCTTCCCTCATTATTTTATCCAGAACAATGAATGACTTGTCCACATGCACAAATAAAATATTCAATTCTTTTTGACAACATTACTAATGTAAAAACCCTTAATGATATTAAAGCTGTGTACTAGAAAACTAAAAGTCCCCAAAACAAAATAGCCGTACATATTGCTTAAAGCCTTTACCTCTTTGAAGCACTCTTGTATTCCTTTGTTTCCTTTATTTTACATACCTTGATTGGAGCTGTTTCTGGTCTGATTATATAAATCCCCCAGGTCCAGTTATTCATCATCCACACTGTCCTCTTCATTCTCCTGTGAACCCAAGGTGTCATTTAGCCTTGAAGGGGAACAACAGCTGGATCCAGAGGAAGATGCACTGCACTGGAGTGTGGAGATGATGAGCACTGCTTTTGGACCTCCTTTTTTTTTTTTTACAAAGGTTGTCTTTAGAAAATAGGTGTGCTTTAACTCAATACCCTCCTGCCCCCCTTCAGTGTCAGCAACAAAATATACATAGTATATGTAAATGATTCATCCCTGCTTTCAGTTATTTGGCCTGTCCACACCTGCACAGTTCACATTCCATTCAGACCTAATTTCTATTTCATGGCTTGGCACATAGCACTGGAAACACCATAAAGACCAATATAAATCCACTGGAACATAAACTAAGATACCGACAAGGACTTCCATTTTAAAGTAACAGCCCCCCTATACCTAAGTGAGTGAACAGTGATAACATATCCTGGTCTATGTAATGGTGGAACTGCCACTGAAAAATAACGAAAGTACCATTGTGCCACTTCATAGCTCCACTAGATATCTTCCAATTCTATTGGTGTTTTCTGTCATCCTGGTACATGCCATTGATTTATGTACAGTCCGTAATAAGCATTAGAACCGACAAATCTTTCACTGCATCCTCTGAAAGCAACACTGTGCAGTCATTTTGTCATGGGGTGCTAACTGCTTTTCTATTGCAGAGGTGGGGTTAAAGGGTATTTAATCTTAAAAAAGGAACTGAACTGTGGAAGCTGTTCTGGAAAAGGCAAGCAAATGGCAAAATACCGGTTACCAGCCTCTGGTTTTCCTGCAGCTGATTTTTCCTGTAATATTGATTCACTATACCTTGGTTTGCACTGTGTCTCCATGTGGAAACAGCCATCCTAGTAGAGGAAAGAGGCTTTGCTACCTCATGACTAGTGATCTGATGTCTAGTGGGGGAATATTCAAGAAGCAGCAGAAGAGACTGAGAAAGCACAATCCACAAATTGAACAAAGCAGGAGCAGGCAGATCCTTGCACTGCAGGTCCTCAGATACAGCTTTTTCACAGCAAGTACTCAGGAGAACAGTCAGCAGCACAGTAGTGACATATCAAATCGTACTCTGAATCTTGTGAGACTGTCAGTCAAAGACAGCAATGTCTTAAGCCTGGTACAAACAATGAGAATATTGGTCATTCCTTTTTTTTTTTTTTTTTTTTTTTTTTTTTTTTTTTTTTTTGCATGCTAGTCTCATATCGAAAAAAAAAATAGGTTACTAGTGTTATGAAAATTCTCGTAAGACAGAATACAACTTCCCATGATGATGTAATGTATTGTATTTTATTGTAATGTATTCTTTTGTTTCCAAGCGTGCACGGTTTTGGTCGCTTGATTTTTTACAGACGAATACTGTACTGATCAAATGAAAATAATTTGTTCTGTTATCCTATGAGAAACATTTTTGCACTTGTCCCTTTGGATAATTTTTGCATGAACTGTTGTGATCGGCTCTTCGAAAGCTGTGTACTAATGATCACCTTATCAGACAATAGCTTCGAAAATGGTTTTATTAGTACGAAATTCCCAATACCGGGCTTTAGATTCACATTGCAGATTTAGGTTCTAAGGCTGTAGGTACGGTGCTTAAGCTTAATCACAGTCTCATTCCAGGAAATGCTCTGTTATTTCAAGACAAATTATAGATTTTTTTTTAGGCACTGCATAGGTAGAAACAATATACCCTACAACATAGGAATCTTCACTTTTAAGGGCAAGACATATGTTTTAAGTAAAGCATATGTCTTGTTTTGTTAGGGGGTGAAATTATGTTTACAATTCAATATGTACTGAGCCTGTATTCTCCTAGTTAGTTCAGCAAGCAAAGCATTTTAATGCAGAACTAAATTATACTGTATCTGAACACCACAAACTAAAAAAGCTATTTAATTCAATTTTAATATTCAAAGGAAACTCACCAATCCATTCATGTCTCCATGCTTTATTTTGCTAGCATTTCTGGTGGTGGCCAACTTGAGTAAGGGCTGATGATTCATGTAGCAATTCATTCCTGGAATCCATCTGCCCTTAGCTCTGGCATGCAGGCAGGAGGGTGTGCTTAGCTGAGAAAGCCCCTCCTTCAGATGAAAGAAAAAAAATCCCATTAAAGACTCATGAGATTTATGACATCATTGATCCAGAAACAAGGAAGCAACTGAAGAAATTAATTAGTCCGGACACTTTTACCCCCTTCCTGTCCAGGCCAATGTTCAGCTTTCAGTGCTATCACCTTTTAAATGACAATTGCGCAGTCATGCAACACTGTACCCATATGAATTTTTTAGCATTTTTTTTGAGACAGATAAAGCTTTATTTTGGTGGTATTTATTCACCACTGGGATTAAAATTAAAAAGTGTAAATTAATGTAAATTAAAAAGTCAGAAAAAATTTTGAAAAAAAGTGTTTTTCTTATAAAAATTTGCAAATAAATAGTATTTCATCATAAATCTTGACCAAAATTTATTCCGTTATATTTTTAGTAAAAAAAAATAACCCAAATTAGTTTATAACCAAAAATTATAATTTTTAAACTTTTTTTTTATTTTTTTTTACTGTCATACTGTCATACTGTCACCCTAGCAGTACAGTGTCACCATAGTGACACTGTACTACTTGTGGGGGTTGATGAAGATTTTTTTTTTTTTCACACTGATTGCTTTTACACCCATAAAGGCAGTAAAAGCAATCATTTCTCCTTCTCTCTAGCTGCATTCTTGCAGCCATGGAGAACTACTGAGTGAGCTGTGATTGGTCACATCTTGTTACATGGTACAAGGCTGTTGTGAATAGCCTTGTACCATGTGGCCTCTGTGATCATTCACAGATTTCACACGTAGTAAGCAATGATGTCACAAGTGACATCTTGCTTACTACTCTGCATGTAATCACTGATTGGTCAATCAGTGATCACATGATCGGGACCTCGTACAGAGGTCCCTCGACGATCGGTGTTCCACTGTGTACGGAGGACACAGCGGGCACTGGACCGTGGTGCTGCGCACAAGCAGGGTGCGGGGAGGCCGTTTATAAACGGCCACCCGACCCTGCACTGCCACCGTCCGGCCGTTTATATACAACGGCCGGACTGGAGGTGGTTAAAAAAAAGGCTGACTGAAACAAGAAAAATATAATATACCTTCTTATCTATTTACTAAGGCTAGCAGCATAAGGATTAAAAGTTACTAATGCTGATTGAGAGAGAGTTTAGTTCCATTTTAATAAGAAAAAGAGCATTGTGCAAAATGTACCAGTAAGGGATGCCATAGGTGGACAGATACCTCCTCACATGAGCATGTCATCTGCTCATCCTTGAGCTTTTATTGCGCTGCTGGAACCATCACAATGGGATAATGATTTTTGATTTTACGAAACAAAAAGACTGTGCACTTTGCAAGTGAAGGTGCTATAGAGCTTAGTAAATGAGGTAAAGCTTCACTTGACAATTATACCCAATCACATGCAAGGAAAATAAATATAAAACACATTTTTGCTTGCACATCATTTGGATGATGGAAGTTAGCAAAGCTTGACAATAATACCCCCTCTGTTACTAAGCTCAGGAGCAACTACATTTGCAAAGTGCACAGTCTATTTGCCTTTACTAAACCAACACCAATGACAGTGGTATAGGACAGTGGACCTTTTCATACATAGAAAAATGAAGGATCTATTACAATGACCGCTAACAGACGATATTGAGTTCCTCTGACCACCAGAGCAGTTTTCAGCATTTGTTTAGGGAATCAGAAAAAGCCTGATAATTGCAGTCAGGTGACTTATATCGATCCTGACTCACAGCAACCAGTCAGTAATGTATAATGCTGCTAAGTACTCCAAATAGAGGATGAGTGATCTGGATGTGGGTTACTGCACATCATTTATTTTGTTACTGCCTTATTAAAACATTTGAATGATGTTCTTTGTCAAGGAACATGCTGCAAGACTACTATGTAAGCTGTGGTAGACATAATGGTAGAATTATTTGAAATGGGCATTATCTTATTTGGTACATTCATTCCTTTTTGTAATTCAGTATATATTTGTATTATTATTATTTATATTTATAAAATATAAACACGTTAGTTATATACAGTACCTAAATGTAGTCCTGACTGCCAGTTTTCACTGTCACTGCCATTTCTTTTAAACAGCTTTATCTACATGCAAACTATAGAGCTAATGTGAACAAAGGCACATGGGATGAACAAAAGGAATTCATATTGTTTGGTACATTCAATCCTTTTTGTAATTTAGTATATCTTTTTATTATTTATATTTATAATTAAAATCATTAAATTATTAAAATATATAATAGTTATACACAGTACTTAAATGTAGCCCTGGCTGCCAGT